CCCCCGAGCCTTCTCTTCTCCACACTAAACCCCCCAGGTCCCTCAGCCCTTCCCCATCACACTTGTGCTCCAGGCCCTGCACCAGCTCCGGTGCCCTTCTCTGGCCCCGCTCCAGCATCTCAATGTCTCTCTTGTTGTGAGGACCCAGAACTGATTTGAGGTGCAGCCTCACCAGTGCCCAGCGCAGAGGGACAATCAGTGCCCTGGTCCTGCTGCCACACTAGTGCTGATACATGCTCCATCGGATTTCCTTATCCCCATTACAGCCTGCTCTCACCTATGGATGTCCAGCTACAACATTTAGTAGCCTCAGAAGACACCAAGGAAGCAAAAACCAGACAGCAGATTATCATGTGCATGATTTCAAGGGCCACTGAGCCCCATCTTCTGCACATTGGCCCTTTCAAACCTCAAAATAAAGACCAAGTCTCTGATGTTAAGTTCTGAGAAAGACCACTTTACCAGCTTTTGGCATGCGGGTCGTGTTCTGTAGGTACTCTCCACTCTTATACAGATTCAAGACTCTCTCTAGCTGAGCAGCCGTCTCATCTATTCCCCAGTGAAGTTCTCCTTTAAAAGCACAGAAAACGAATGAGTTAGACAAAGAGGAGCCAGAACAGGACAAAACAAGGTTGCATTTGAACAAAGCCCTAATCAGAACCAGAGCCCAGCAGTGCCCCGCTCTTTGGCAGCATTGTGATGTGGACATGAAATCCCCGAGTTACAAATAGGGTTTCAAATCTGGCATGAGCCAGGCACACAGTACAAGGTATAAACCCCCTAGAACGATGCACTGAAAACCCTCAAATCAGATTTACAGGCACAGGTAACTACTCTTGTCCCTTAGGCACTACCTTAGTAAAGATCTATGGTAATATCACTTGCCACTGGCTTCTGAGGTATAAAAGCACCACTGGTACCATTGACAATGGGGAAGTAACCTGCTTTTGTCGCTAAAATTCCGCTCACCAGAGACTGGGGTTCCCTCAGATCCCACAAGGAACTGCATTCTGATGCAGTTCACCCCAGTGCTGAGGTGCCAGGAGGAAGTAAACACCTCTGTAAAGCCTAGATAAAGTCTCCAATGGGATTTCTCTGGTATATGGGGCTTTTCTTGTCTTTTCTGTATGGGGGAAATTTTATCCTGGATAGAAAACCAATCTGGTTCTATTGCAGTGAAAATTAAAACAGCATCTTTCCCATTCCAAACATGACAGTCACACTGAAAAAGGAAATGCTCCATATGACCATGTTTAGTGTGGTTACCTGTTGCATTGACTATCTTATCCAGTAATGGTTTCAGTGAGGATGGAGCACTGTGTGGAAGAAGATACGTGAAAAAGAACCTGCAATGGAAAAGTAACCCATATTGAGAAATTCCAAACGAGAGATTACAAATGTCTGGTAACTACTGAACAATATACAGGGTAAAATTTCTATTGCTTATAAACCACTGACCTGCTCAAGAGATATAATCATATTCTATACTCAAATAAATATATAGCTGAGACCATTCACCCGGCTGCCTAGGGTGTTTAGGCAAACCTAAACCATGCTGTTAGATACAAGGCTGCCTTGTAACTATGTGTACATGTTCCATTAACAGAGAAGTTTGCTGTGAAGCCGACTGGATTGTGACTATTTGCAAAGCTGTCTGAACTTTAACAAACTAAAAGGATGCTCTCAAACTCAAAAAAGTCTTGTGGGGTTTTTTCAAAGCTGGAAAGTGTATAAATCAATTTTCTGCTCATTTCAAATAATTGGCTGTTATTTTCTTTTCTACAGTTTTCTTAGACTTACACATTAATTGCCAGGAGAGAGCCTTCTGCTATTGTTCTAATGCCACTGCAATTCAGAATGTCTTCTCTTTTTCTCATCATTTATCATTATCATAAATTCAACATGCATTCATGTAGATATTCATTGATGGATGTATACTTTCATTGCTGTATATTTTCCATTTTAACATTTTTAATTGCAAAAGAACATACAATACACCTTCACCATCACTTCAAGTACACTTGATTTTCACACTTTTCCTTTAAATTTCTATTACTCTGCCAATATTACTTACCTATATCACACTCAGTGTCATAGAAACCTAAGATGGAGGTGGACAGTCCAGGATATGACAATACATACACAACTATTAGACATTAATATTTGGTAATGAGCAGAACAGGAACACAATTGGGAAATTCCCCTGCTTTACTTCCAACCTGCAAAGCAAAATGGGTTTTCATATACAGAGGCCACACTGTCAAACAGACACCTCCACAGACTGATGCTCAGGAGGGACACTAGCAGACATCTTCCATGAGCACACATTAAAAAATTAAGCTGCTGATCACAAAAACTGCTCATGGGCAAAGGTATTATTGAACTGACACATTTTATTGACACAATGAATATTTCCTTGAGATTGTAACTCCCGTTTTCATCCTTTCTAACCCCTGCAGGGCAGGGACACCTCACACTAGAGCAGGTTGCTCCAAGCCCCAATGTTCTCAGCCTGTCTCCATACGGGAGCTGCTCCAGCCCCTGATCATCCTCGTGGCCTCCTCTGGCCTTGCTCCAGCAGCTCCATGTCCCTCTTATGTTGGGCACACCAGCACTGCACACAGTGCTGCGAGTGGGTGCAAACACCCGCATGTGAAATTCTGACACATACAGACAGTGGCACCTGCACAACTTAATTGCAGGAACAATTGCTATTCATCGATTCCAGGGCCAGTGGCATCTCTTGTGATCTGCATAATTCAGCTTCCCAGACCCTTCTACATTTGTTCCTACAGCCTTTTTTTCTCCTTTCTTTTTTTACTTTTTAAGAACTTGCTGATCTTAATTTAAGAATTGTCAATGATGGAGAATTCAACTCGGCCATTAGTTAATAGTTCAAAATATTAATTACCCTTACTTTTGAAACTGTCCAGTGCTTTGAAAATTGTTCCTCCAAACATCTGGAGGAAAACCCATGGACACACAATTGTGACAGAGGGTAATCATCCAAAAGTCAAGAGGGGCCAGTGCTTACACAGTAGAGTTTTCTTCCAAAATGTTTTCTCTCCTTTAATTATTTACCTCATAAAGAAACCAGCTAGATAGCTTTAATTATGCTTTCAAGGCTAGGGCATGCTGTATTTTAAAATCACAAGGATTTTATGCATTGTTTGACATATTGCTGCTTTTGATTTCTACCTAACAGCACTAGTAACCCTTTACTGAGGGCAATCTCCAGCCCTACAGCACCAGAATGCATCCATGAAAGGTGAAGTTTAGTAGCCTTCCCCTAATGAAGAGAGAATCTAGCCTTGTAAGACAATGCCAACCTCGTGAAGTTGAACAATGCAAAGTGCAAGGTCCTGCCCTTGAGTCGGGGCAATCCCAGGCACAGGTACAGGTTGGGCAGAGCAGTGATTCAGAGCAGCCTGAGGAGAAGGACTTGGGGGTGTTGGTCAATGAGAAACTGAACATGAACCACTTCAGTGTGTGCTTGAGCCCAGAAACTACCTGTGTGCTGGGCTGCATCAACAGGAGTGTGAGCAGCAGGTGGAAGGAGGTGATCCTGCCCCTCTACTCTACTGAGACCCCTCTTGCAGCACTGTGTGCGGTGCTGGTGTCCTCAGCATAAGAAGGACATGGAGCTGTTGGAGCAAGTCCAGAGGAGGCCACGAGGATGAGCAGGGGCTGGAGCAGTTCCTGTATGGAGACAGGCTGAGAACACTGGGGCTGTTCAGCCTGGAGAAGAGAAGCTGCGTGGAGACCTCAGAGCAGCTGCCAGTGTCTGAAGGGGGCTACAAGGATGCTGCAGAGGGACTCTGCATCAGGGACTGGAGCGACAGGACAAAGGGGGAGGGGTTCAAACTGAACCAGGGGAAGTTCAGGTTAGATCTAAGGCAGAAGCTCTTCCCTGGCCCAGAGAAGCTGTGGCTGCCCCGTCCCTGGCAGTGTTCAAGGCCAGGTTGGACACAGGGGCTTGGAGCAACCTGCTCCAGTGGGAGGTGTCCCTGCCCGTGGCAGGGGTTGGAACTGGATGAACTTAAGGTCCTTCGCAATCCAAATCAGTCTGGGATTCTGTGACGAGTGCACAGGGCCTGTTGCTCACTCCCTACCATGGGTGGTCACAGCCTGCAACAGCCTGAATCTGCTGTTGAATAAAACCCCACTGTCTCTACCAAATGAAGCAAAAGCAGGGGCTGAAAACACTGGGGCACTGCGTGTGCGTTACACACTGTGCGGTTCAGAGGCAACACTAAGAACTAGACATAGAAAAAGGCTGTTTCCTTCAGCAAGACCAGCAACCTGCCACAAGCCCACCACACCACAGACACATCCCTGGTTGTGACCAAGATGGATGGGTGCCTATTAAAGGTTTCTTATTCGGTATATCTTAGTGGTCTTTACCAGTAAAACGGTCCTAACCAAAAGCTAGCAAGCTAAGCAAGATCTTAAAGCCAAGCAAATGGAAACAGAAAATTCTGCAGGACACGCTAAAAACTGCACTGCAAACTGCAGATGGCTGTCATGTGGTGCAGCCCATTTCAGTGTGGTCAGCTAATGCATCACACATGCTGGTGAGTGCCCTGGGACCAAAGCAGAAGGCTCTTCTTTGGAGCAGCCTCTCCTCGCTGTGGTCTGGCAGGCAGTGAATGGCATGATACTTGAAAGGGAAGTCTAAGAAATGAGCACACCATTATGGCATTGCTTTGAGATCTTCCATCCTCCTATCTGGATCAGGCAAGGCAGCCGCCTGCCCCAGCAACAAAGCGGTGGCAGGAGGAGCATGGCACCAAGCATCAGCTCCCCAAAAACAGGAAACGCTGCTCCCCCAGCATCCCATATAGCCCTCCGAGGGAAGCGATGACCAGTGGAGGAGAGCAGAGACCACAAGCACAAAGCCATCACCCAGAAGGACTCCATGGTAAACCCACAGAAACTTTTAAAACCAAATTTGGAAGATGGACGTGTCAACTGAACGCCTTCTTCAGCATGGTCCAGTGTGACCCATCACCTACGTGTCCCATCACCTACACAGAGCAGCACAGGAGCAGCCCCAGGAGCGAGTCCCCCAGCGCTTGCCCATGCAGAGAGCAGGGGAGTGGGGTGAAATGGACCACCCTTTGCTTTGAAAGGCTTGGGATTACACCCCAGATCATCAGTGACTGAGTGAGGTCTCAGCAGCCCCTGTTATCACCAAACCATGGCAGGATCTGGCTACAGGTCAAGCTGGAGTGCAGGATGAGAGCTGAGTTCTTACTCTGCCTCTGAAGCCAGCCCTTTGCTCAGCCGGTGGTGGAAACCATGAGATGATCCTTCTTAACTCATACTTAAGAAGAACTGCCCCAATTGTCCCACCACAGAGGTAGTGGGCCCCCATCTCCACAAGCACCTCTGTTTCACTCCTATGAAAAACCTCTGCTTGTGGGAAGAATTCAATGGGTTTCAACCAAAGCAAAATTAGACCGAGTGGTGAATCACACCCAAAGTATGCAAAACACTTCCAAAGTTATAAATGCAGGATATTTTCACAAATGAAACAATTACTCATGGCTTCACTTGCTCCTGGGTAATGGTTCTGACACAGTGTGTACTCACTGATGTGAATAACTATAAAGGAAGCTGGAGACTTCTGGCTCACTCTTAATTCTCTTCTACCTTATCTGATCACATACCTGTAGGCATTGTAGAGATTCCTCTTTTCATTCATACTTTGACACCGTCCCTCAACTGAACAGGTCAGGGTGAAGTTTCTTGCAGGGAATTCCATGAAGCAGTCGCTGTTACTGGTGCAAGAGCTCTCCTCAATGCTGGCATCATCCAGATCTGTGACCTTCAGTTCCCCATCCACGATCACAAACTGCCGAGGGCGAAAATCCAGTAATGTCACGGAGCCAAGAGGAGAGTGAGCCAAATAATGCAGAAGCCGAACTAAGCTGAGACAGATCTGAAATGCAAAAATGTGGGTAGCTTGTGTTATTCTCTCAGTGCAAAGTACATAAATGAAACCACTTAAGCTGAACATATGACTTAATATAGGCATTATAACTTATCCTCCAAACCGAATGTTGCAACTAAGGTATTTTTCACAGGATTAACATAGTTGATTGTAAAACCCTTAGAGACTTGAAAGAAAAATAAGCTTCTTTACCAGTGCTTTCCCACACTATTCTTGAAGCAGGGCTTATTGTTGCTATTCCTACTTTTAACAGAAATAAAAGCATTAACTTTTAATAACACATTACGCACAGGCCTTAACCACGCAGCCTGATTCTGCTCTTTTACAAAGTCCAGGTCTGGAAGTTTTGGCTGGACTGCCCTGCACCTGGATCTCCAATGGGTGTCTGTATTGCCTCTGTGCTGATCCTGCCTTTTGACTGCTTTATCGTTTTTTCCACTGGTACCTCTTGCGTTTGCCTTTTTCCATGGGAGAAGAAAGCAGATTGCCAGAAGAGGAGCTCCACAGCTCCTCTTGAAGTCCTCAGTGGGGTAACCGCATGTGTCCATCTCCCTTGGTGGACCTTCATGTGCCTCTTTGAGGCTGGGGTGGGAGCTCTGCGTTGATGCTGCACTTTCCAAATGCAGGTTAGAAACATGAGTAATTCTTACAGCAAACTCGATGAACGCTGAACTCGGCCCTCTTTCCAAAGTGCTGTTTTCAATTCATGCATTCCTTTAGAGTCCACTATGTAACATATTAATGCAAACGCAGCATTAATATGAACACAGTCAAATACTGGAATTTTTATTCTATGTACTAAATTAATAACAGCTCTTATTCAGTCTAGCAATCTTTTTATTGTTTACATATAATCTTTGTTTTCTGTTAAAATACATTGTTAAGGCCACGGGCATTGAATTAGTCAAACCCAAATTCAATCTCAGGGCATAAATGGTATACTAAGCGGAGCACCTAAATGCATCCTTCATAAGAAGCTAAGCATGTCTGAAGCTATCCCTCAGAGACATACAGGACATGAGGACTGTCTCACACTTCTATAATCATGCTCCTGCTTTACCAAACCAGAACATTTTTATCCTGCTTACAGGATACCACAGTTCACATGGAGATGCCTGCAGATGAACACAGACCTGATTATGGGACACCAAACCTGGCCACCTTTTCTTCCTTCTGGAAGAACACAGGATTCATGTATGTGCCATCCCACAATATCCTCTATATAAAAAGTACATACCACCCCGAAGTAATTTATAATGCACATATCTTCAATTGCCAACAAACCTGGAATTTAGCTGGAATAAAAACACAGGCTGCCATCTAACTGCCTTTTCTCAAAGGTCAAAAGTCCCTGTTCCTGCATGGGCAACCTAATCTAAGACTTCATTACAGCAGTCACAGGAATGGTTCATTTGTATTCTACCTCTGCTCAGCACCTTCACCTAATTCTCCTTCATCTCCCTTTGCAATTGCTCACTCCAAAATATCCATGCTAAAAGGAAACTTCCCTGTTTACAACCCATAATTTAACGTATCTATTGGTCATTTACGTCATACGTAATCACTGTCACAGTCCATTGTTTGCATTCCCTGGACAAGCCAAAAGCAGGTCCTGTATTACGGGAGCCGTGACAAATAACTCTACTACTTATTAAGACCATACTTCTATTGGGGAAAAGGAGCTGAAGCTTAGCACAGAGAACACACTTGCTCCATCTATATTAAGATAGATGGATGGAACAGTCCTGGGCAGAGAAACTTAACCCCACACACACTTACTAGCACTGTCTCTGGCCCGGTCTGACCAGGACCAAGGTTGTTCTGCACCATCCCCAGACACCATCCCGGTGCTGTTTCCAGTGGGTGTTCAGAGGGTGCAAGAACTCAGTAGTACAGAATTGGCTGCACATTGCCAGTTTGTCTCTGAGATCACTCAGGCACACTTTCAATCCTCTGGTACAGATGTAGCCATGCAATCCAAAGTGCTTTAGATGAAGGCTGCTGCTGCCTTGCAGCATCTGAGGGAGTTAACCTCAGACAACAACACATCACTGTATACACTGAGCAAGACAGCACTGTCTTGATCAAAGCATTGCTGCAGTCTGGCTTCATTTTGGACAAATTAGGTGTGATCTTCGTGCTCCAACACGGTGGACAACCTGGGCTTGAGATCTGTGTCCGTTTATTTCACTCTTCCCCCAGTAAAAGATGAACAGAGCAGGAAGCAGTAGAAAACAATTACATAATCAGCCTATGATAAGGATCAGCAGAAAAACATAACATCCTTCTATTGTTTCAATCCCACTTGCAGAGCACAGTGCTCGACGTCAAAAACCCTGTGCCTTGAGCTTTAACAAGTAAGAAATGTTTGAAGGTACCACATAAAAAGCATAAAACCAGCTACAATTAATTAGGTAACATCGACGGACAAAATAGCAGAGTATTTTAAACACTGCAGAAGGGGAGTGCTAAACGCTGTTTCTAACCCAACATGTAATCATATGCAAAGCAAACATTCAATAAATGTGAGCAGCACTGCAAAGTACATAACCCCTGCTTCATGCTCCATGTTATTCATCACTCTCCTAAAAGTTCTTTTAAACCAGTTGTTAACTCACTCGAAATCTGTCTTCCCAGGAAGCCTGTAGAAGCTGGATCATCTCTAAAGGCGAGCCTAGCTCAGTGATGGTCGTCAGCGTGTCTGGGATGTCATTGCTGTCTTGGTAGCAATAGCCATAGAGCTGAAAAAAATCACAACCATGCAATATCAGTGTCTATCTTTACCATGCTTTTATGTTTCTTCATGGATGAAGTGCAAAGTAAGCAGTTCTTACAAGGCTCTGAGCTCTGCACATTGCACTACTAAGTCCCTCAACCCAGTAACTTTTGTGTCCTCTTACTTGAGGAATACTCCCTTGAAACTCCCAAATGAGCTAGTAGAGTCTCTTGTGGGCATCAAACAGTACAAGGCCAGTCAAGTGCCCCCTGCATACACCTCTGTACAGCATCTTACCTCAATTACTCTTGTACTGGGTTTGTGTGGCAAGGTTTTGGTGGCTGGGGGTGCTACAGGGATGGCTTCTGTGAAAAGCAGCAGCTTCCCCTATGTCCAACAAAGCCAGTTCAGCCGGCTCCAAGATGGACCCACCACTGGCCAAGGCTGAACCCATCAGTGACGGTGGTAGTGCCTTTGGGACAATGGATTTAAGGCCCATGGTGGAGCAGATTTCTACCTGCAGTCCATGGAGGACCCCACGCCAGAGCAGGGGGATGCCCAAAGGAAGCTGCAATCCCATGGGAATTGCACTGGAGCAGGCTCCTGGCAGGACCTGTGGTCCCATGGAGAGAGGAGCCCACGCTGGAGCAGGTTTGCTGCAGGAGCTGTGACCCTGCAGGGGACCCAGGCTGGAGCAGCCTGTTCCTGAAGGATGCCCCCCATGGAAGGCACCCAGGCTGGAGCAGTTTGAGAACTGCAGCCCATGGGAAGGACTCATGTTGAAGTTCATGCAGGACGGTCTCCTGTGAAGGGACCCCACTCTGGAGCAGGGGAAGAGTGTGAGGAGTCCTCCCCTGAGGAGGAAGGAGCCGCAGGGACAAGCTGGGATGAACTGACCACAACCCCCATTCCCATCCCCTGTGACACTCGGGGGGAAAGGTGGAGAATTTGGGAGTGAAGTTGAGCCTGGGAAGAAGGGAGGGGTGGGGGGAAGGTGTTTTAAGGTTTGGTTTATTTCTCATTATCCTACTGTGGTTTTCTACCTGAGGAAAAACAGCCTGTGTAATACCTGGCTAAGTAAGACTCATTTTCTGCTTAAAAGACATCGCAAAACAGTTTTTAATGTCATTTCCCATAGGACTACTGTTTGTACATTGAGTGGCAATGTGTATTTCGATGACACGGTAGCTTGAAAAGCAATTGAAATGTCAAAACTTTTCCTTTCCCAGCCAGAAATTGCCTCTCACTCTATTTGATGGACTTTTGTATGCAGTATCCTTAAAGAAGGGCAAATACCCCAAAATACTATCTGCCAGTAGCTTCTTCAATCTAAAAGCATTGAAATGGCAATTTCAGCTATGTTCCAGCTCCTTCTTGTATTTGCTTTCCAAGGACATTTGAATGATTAATTTTCACTTGCACAAATAATTGCACAAGAAGAATATTTCAAGCCTGTGGAGAAGAGATGTCTTGCTTTATATGGAATGGGACAAGGTCTGACGGGGCCGGGGACAGGCTTTTACAAACTCCCTGCCAAGCCCTGGCAGAGAGGCAGTTAAATGAGCCTGATAAGGATCTTACTGCAACTTTCCAGCCAGAACAGCATGCACATGAAATAAAATTAAGTGTAATCTCTGCCCGCAGACAAATAAACCATGTGGCAAAGGAGCCTGTGTGGAAAGGCAGCATTAACAAATGCCCCGTTGCTATTCCTCTGCTGCCATGCCCCGAGTTATCTGACTTTTTAAACCTCTCTTGGTTCTAAAAAGCTTGGGGAAGGTGATGGGGGGAGTCTCCTCCAGGCTGAGGGGGCTTGGACACGGCCCTGCATAAGAAGCCAGGCTCATGCAGACCAGAACAGGGACCAAGTGTAATTCAGAGAGCCAGACTAGTGAGTGCCATTGCTGCAAGAGCGGGCTGAGGCTGAGCACAACCACCACGAGCAGATTCAATTGCCAAGCACATTCTTACTGCCTGTGACCCTCGCAGGCAGAAGAGCAAAGACCAGGCTAAAGTCAGCAAATCCAGGGATTTGTTAGGAACCATCCCACTAGCTCTGCCTGTTGCTGTCTACACAGCATGGGAAAAAGGGTGCCAGATAATGTCAAAGTAGTAAACAATTTTCCTTTTTGGAAATACAGTGCCGTTTTTACACCAAACAGCTGCTTAACACGGATGTTAACCCAAGCAGAAACAAGAGCTAGAAGATTTTCTTTTAAAACATGCTGAAAAGATTTTGGCACCGATGCACGGCAGAGAATTTGCAGTAGATGCCGATAAGAACATTAGGAATAGGAAAAAGGACCTTTCTCTTTACTGCCACAACCATGACAAAGATTGCAACAGTAATTACCTCTTAAACTAGAGCAATTCAGACCGGACCCGAGTTTGTTCCTTATCATCTGTGACACCATTTTAATGCTGTTTATTGGCAGGAGTTAAATCTTGGTGCGCTGCAAACTACCTGAGAGGATCACATCATCGCAATTCTAAGCCTTCTGAGCTAACAAAAAAATGAAATTAAAGGAAACTATTTAATACAACATTGATCTTTTCTCAGAGACAAGCTGGATTCTGCAGCTCTTCCTGGGTATTTCATGTCTCCCCTGTGTGAGGGTAGACGAAGAAGGCAAGGCTGAAGCTCGGTAGGTTTGAAAGCCACCCCTTTAGAGTGTCAAAATCTAACATCTGTTTCTGTATCATCTGCAGAGTTCAGCTCTTGTCTTTAGCTCAGTAATACTATCCCTTGGGAAAAAAGCCATAAGGGAAATTAGCAAGCAACCCAGACTGGAAAATGACAGTATCGTCCTAACTGTTGGTTCACAGCGACACTGGGTACAAAAAAGGTGTCAGGCTTCACTAGACATTCCCAACATTCGTGAAAACCATTCCAGGAATAGAAAAACATAAGATAAACAATTATACATATGAACACACAAGCAGGAATAAATTGCAGTGCCTATTTTACCTCAATCCATGAATGCCAATAGTAACAATGATTTAGGTTTGTTCTCAGAGAGCTGGAACTTTGCTCGTAAGTAATTCATCATTTTAGTGTCCAATTTATACCTTGGCAAAAGTCTTCACTTCCCAGGAAGCTGAGTACTCAGTGCATATTTTACTGTATTAGTACCCATCTAATCACTTCAGTCCTTGTGGAAGCTTAAATGACCTGATCCAGTTTTGGTTGTTTATTAAACTGGTCTTTCTTCTCACAAGAAAACGTTCTTGCAGGAGCATTGCTGAACAGCGGCAATCCCACAGCGCTGAGCAACTTAGTGTAGCTCTGACTCAATAAATACATAATCTAACCTGAGCTCTTTATTGCTTTTACTAAAGTGAAACCTCTCCAGATGCAATGTTATTACATAATTATATAGAGTTATAAAAGCACAGAAGTCTGAGATATAAAGGATTTATTGGGCCGCATTTATACTTTTCTAAACGAACTCCTGAAACTAAATGCAAAAATGCACATGTAATTACATGGCCGTATTTGTATGTGCAATTACCATGATTACAAACTGGGCAAGTCCCAACAGCCAGTTAAGCATCTAAAATGGTTACATTCATCCCCTCCTGATGAACCACCACCCAGCATGCAGATGTTTCAAAATACAGAATATATATAGATGCAAAATATTCTGAGGCAGTAATTCTTCGGCCTTTCGTTTAACAAGTGACTTATTAAGACACAGAAACAAGTACAGAGGTTCTACCCAAAATATTTCTTCCCCCCACCCCCCTCCTTTTGTTTTTTGTCCAATCCATTTTAAGGTCTGAAATGAGACAAAATGGTTTGTATTCCCAGACGGTGAAGTAAGAAACAGATAGCTGGATACATACAATAACAAGAAAAATAACCACACGGGGAAACTGAATATAGCTGGAAGCAAAAGATGAGCCAAAATACCTCCTCTATCTGAAATGCTATTAGGTTGGACATCATTCTCAGCGTCACAAAGCTACGTTTTAGATATATTCAAGAGTGATGGTTTTCATCCGCCTTGTCAGTATGGTTTCAATTAAATGAATGGAAAGAAATACAATCCCATATCTTTTTGCTATCTTGAGTCACTGCATTTAAACACCACCCCAATATATTTTTGTGTAGAATGTTACAGCAAACAGTCCACTACTGGGATGCCTTCCTGTCTGTTTAGAAAATCATACACCAGATATGAAATGTTGAGCTGTTCTCACATCGTGCGCCGGAACTTGCTTTGAGGAACCCTGTTGACCGAGTAATTTCTCTCCCTGTTTGGATTTTCTCAATCACAAAGGCTCAGCCCTGAATCAATCTTTATGCAGCTAAAACTCACACTGGCTCCAATGATTTTTGGGCACACTGGGCATATACAGGGTCAGCCCCTGCACAGTTATACTGCATTGTAGGAGCCCACATCCCTACAGACGGTCAGTTCACCTCTCTTCACAATCCCCTTTTACTACAAATTATGGGGACAGAGGTGACCCTTTCAGAGGAGCCAGGGGAAGGCGAAAGCAGAGGTCAGTCCTGACACAAAAGCTGACAAGCTTACTGAATAGAAGCACAAAATAAAGGAGCTTATGAAGCCGTCATCAGCAGGGTAAGGCTGTGCAAACAACGAGCCCTCCTGCATTAGCACAGGCACCCTAGCTGGATGGTCAGGAAAATAAATGGCAAGCCAGAACCTCCACCAAAGTGTTATGTGTCATTTACAGAGGTTGCTCAGTGGGGAAGGGTAGGACCAGCTGGCCTGGTTACTGGAGGCAAAACTGCCCTGTACGGATCACGCCACTTCCCTAAGAGTTACAATACATTCAGAATCTTCTTCTTTGCCATGCTAGTTTTTAGCCCTTAGTGTTCCCAATCTTTAGGTTTTCTCTACAACCATAAAATCTTGTAATTTTCCCCTTTTTCTCTTTAATGGACATGAGATTTCCATGAGTCCGGGAATAGGAACCTTGAGAACACTATTACCAGCTGTAATAAGTGACAGGCTCAACTGTCTTACACCAGGAGGAATAAAAAGCTCCCACTGA